CGTAGCCCTTCCAGGATCCTTCCTCGGCTTCACACCCTCCGACCACACCCTGGACCACATTCTGCCGGTTTTCCTTCCCCAGCCCTTCTCTAGTTTAACTCTTCCTCCCGTCCCTGTTCCCCTTCTCCATTTCAGACCTCACCTCCTCTCCCCTAGATGTCCACGGCAGGCTTCAGTAGATCCCCTCTGCCTCCAATTCTGTTCCACGTAGGTGGAGAACTTCCAGCTCCTTCTGCTGCCAACCAGGACCACTCAGGCCCTGGCCTGGCCGGCCCCTTCGGCCTCATCTCCCGCTAGTCCTTGCCTTAGGCTTCACGTTCAAGCCATCTTGAAATGACCGGTTACTCTGCAGACAGCAACTTCGATTTCATTTTTCTGTGATTTTTCACTTTCTTCCATCTTCCTCGTCAAGAACTGTCAGGAGTCTAAGATTTTACCCCACTTGCAAGCTGACGAGGTCACTTGCCACAGTGTCATAGGTATTGGCCGAGGTCTGAGACTCCCGGGACGGTGAAGAAGAACTGTATTACTCCTAGCACGCAGGCCGCATGAGCTTCATGTTTGCCTGGACTCTCCCTGCCCGCCAAGTGCCCTCAGGGTGATGTGGGGGTGGGCCCAGGTGGATGCCGAGCGCACAGTGAATCTGGGCCAGGCCGAGAAGCCTCAAGTTTAGAAAACTCCTGCCCTTTTTAAAGAAGGCTGCTAGCAAACCTGCCCAGTGTTCACCCTGGTAGTGAGACACTGTCTTCCAAGATGAGACATTATTTTATTATTCTGGTCAGGAAAACAAACAAACAAACAAAACAATCTGCCCTCTTCCCAGGAAGGAGAAACGATATCTTCCAAGGCTATTCAAATACTCTTAAACAGACAGCTGGAACAAAAGCCAGCTGTCTTTCTAAGAGTATCAACCACTCTTCACCAGACATGGAGAAATACGAGAGACCCATGGAGCGCCGTGTCCTAGCCTTGCGGAGATTCTTCTTGTTCCTCCTGCCCTTGGCTAACTCCTCATCCTTCAAGTCCTGGCTCGGCACCCCTGTCTGCAGAAAGCCCTCTTTGTTCCTCCAGGCGGGTTCCATATCTTTCACTCCCTCAGGCCCCCCTAGCATCCCACGCCTGCTGCTGTTATCACACGGGTCCCATTAAACTGAGAATACGCACCTGGCTCAGCACCCCCTGCATGTGAGTTCACCTGTGCTCCCTGTAGACCATCTAGCGCCTTCGCAGAGATGTGGAAAAGGCGTCCCTTCTTTCGGGTGGACACGGTCCCGTGCCGGGCTGTAGGCCTTGCCAAGTGGCGCCCAGACTGGGATTTGGTCCCACTCATCCTCTTGGCCGTGCGGCAGTGAACAACTTCCTTGCCCGTAGGTGCTAACCCCGAGTTTATTTACCTTTTCAAAAAGATCCGGGGCTTCCCCTGCCCGCCCCCGCCCAGGAGCTTGTATGATCCGTGCATGGGCCCGAGGAATCGGGGCAGAGTCACTGTCATTTTAAGAACGGGGAATGGGTGGCTCAGAGACGTTATGCGAGGTGCTCGCAGCGGGCCTGGAGTCCAGGTCTCAGGCTGCGAGGGGAGGCTCTTTCCACCCTCCCACTGAGCAGGTCTCCTGACTTTGAAGCCAAGCAGATTTCGGAGTTTCCTTTTTGGCTCTGGGCTGCGTGGGCTGCAGAGAGATGATTCCTGGAGAGCCTTTCTCGGAAATCAGCGTTTCCTAGCAAATAGTGTTGACATCTGGGGAAGAGGGAAAGCCACCGCCGTGAGTCAGCACTTTCCTTCCCAACGCCGTGGTCTGCGTGACTTTCCTGAGAAGGACAGGCCTGGTTTCTGCCACAGCTGTTCCCCACTTTCGCCACCTCAGAGGACACCATGGAGCAGGAGGCAGTTCCAGTCCAGGATTCTGGCCAACTGAGAACATACATAGTGGCCACGTCTGCAAATGTGTGTCAGGCCTTCCAGACATGGCCTCAGGCCACCGAGTGGGCACGGCAGGCTTGTCCGTGACTGGGACGGGAGAATAAAGGATGTCCACCTTCACACGGGGACCTTCCCCTCCTCTTGCCGTCTCTGCTCTCCCTCAGGGCCACTACTATTCTTTGCCCAGCTCATCTGCAGGCCGGTCCCCCGTACTCCCAGCAGAAACTTGCTCATAACTGGGACGAACCGGGTACACCACATTAAGGTGTTGTGAGGCCATCATGCGCCAGGCACCTTCAGGGCCAGAGACTTTTCCTGATGGGCAGGACTTCACACCCAGCTGTCACAGCCAGGCAGGGGACACAGCTAGGCTTGGGACAAGGCCAAGCATGGGACACGGCCAGGCATGGGACACGGCCAGGCATGGGACACGACCAGGCATGGGGATGGAGGAGCAGCACGGAGAGGTGAGGGCATGCCCATTTCTCTGCAGACTTGCTGGGTGTCTTCTCTCAGCACTGCTGGCCCTAGCCCCAGCCCCAGACTCAAGCTGTAGGCCAGGTACAAGCAGAGGGAAGGAGGAGCCAAGGTGGGAGGGGGAGGCAAATGCCAGGGAGGGGACACAGATAAGTCCTTGTCCTATGGACTTATCTGTGTCCTCAGGGAGGGAACACAGATAAGTCCTTGTCCTATGGACTTATCTGTGTCCCCAGGGAGGGGACACAGCTATGTCCTTGTCATATGGACAGCCTGTGGTCCTTGTCCCCAGGGAGGGGACACAGATAAGTCCTTGTCATATGGACAGCCTGTCACCCTTGGACACACACATATATTTGCATATGTGCTAAGCATGAGCACGCGCGCTCATACACACACACACACACACACACACAGAGCTCTGGACTCCTGACCCCTTGCGTGGGCCTGTGGAGAAGCCAGGCCTGCTCAGCAGCATCTGGGGTCTCTTGGGCACTTCAGCTCTGTGATGCTCGGCCATGGCTGCTGCCTCCGCAAAGTCCACCCAGGGCTGGGGCCCGACAGGCAAGGCTCATCTGACTTTGCTTTTCTACAAACAGGTCGCTGAGGTTGCTGTGTGGGGGGCAAGGAAAAGAGCCCTAGATTTGGGGGTCACTTGGCCTGAGTTCAAACTTCACTTTGGCTTCTGAGCAGCTCCATGACCTTGGGTGAGTCAGTCACTCCCTGATATGGGCTGAATTGTGTCCCCCGAAGTTCATATGTTGAAGCTCTAACCCTCAGTACGTCAAAATGTGACTGTATTTGGAGACGGGGCCTTTAAAGAGGTGATTAATTGACATGAGGTCGGAAGGGTGGGCCCTAATTCAATAGGATTGATGTCCTTATAAGAAGAGGGAGAAACACCAGAGCTGCTCGTGCACAGAGAAGAGGCCCTGTGAGGACACAGCGAGGGGCGGCCATTTGTGAGCTGAGGACAAAGCAACCCTGCCGACACCTTCGTCTCAGACTTTCAGCCTCCAGAACGGTGAGAAAATCCATTCCTTTTGTTGAAGTCCCCAGTCTGTGGCTTTTTGTCGTGGTCCAAACAGACTGGCACACCCTCTTTCTCCCATTTCATCCATAGATGCCTCCTTCAAGGGGCTGCTGTACAGGTTAAATAAAATCATGCAGGGGGCTTGCTCATAGCGCCAGGCACTGTGGACGGCTCAGCGTGCGTGATGCCCTGTCTCGTGGCCCTACATCATGCCCTGACACCTGAGGTCGTCCTGTCAACCACCCCTCCCTGGGGCAGAGGCACCCAGATGACAGGAGCTTCAGGTGGCCCCAGCTCTCTTGTTTTCTGGTCTCTCCTGATGGGTGGGCCTCAGAATTGGCTTCAGGATGGTGGGCCTGGTACACACACTCACATACACACGACACACGCACATGTGGTGTTTTGACAATGGCCCAAACTCAGTGGCTGACTCTGCCCCCTTCCAGGCTTGGTGCCCAATCCACCCTCTGAATCCCACCTCACCCCACGCTTGGGTCCCACCTGGGCAAGACGGTACTTGGGTAACTAGATCTCCTTTTGACTTTCCCCTCTAGTCTCAGGCCTTGTGGGAGGCAGTGGGCACCTTGCCTTACAGCTTGGGGCACATGGCTGTGTGGCCAGCTGGGCTCAGGGCTTCAGGGAGCCCTGGATGCTCAGGAAAGGGACAGAGTCTTCATGGGGGATGGAGGGGGAAGGCAGGGAGGACAACCTGGGATCATGGTTGGCTGCCCTCAGCTTCTGGGTATTTGCTCATTTTCTCATGTCTGTTACACTGCCTACCTCCCCCACCCCGAGTCTCCCCACCCCCAGTCTGAAAAGTCCTCCAGGGCTCACTGTATCTGGAACACACTCCTCATCTCATAGAAGGCTGGCCTGGAGCCAGAGTCTGACAGGCGTCTGTCGACTGCCTGAGTGGTCGATGATGCCCAGAAGTTTAATGCCGGTAGTCTAGCCGACCTCCCCTGGGCACTCTGCTCACTGCCATCCAGGCTTGGAAGAGTGTTGACATTGGCAGGTATCCAGCAAACACACATTTATAATCAATGCTGAGGACACAGACGTGAATGGTCCAAATCTGGTGGAGGAGGCAGAAGTATCAGAGACAACCACAATTCAGTGGGATTTCTTGGGAGAGGGATGAGCCCAGGGGGCTGTGGGAATGTGGACAAGGACTAGCTGGCCAGCCCAGGAAGTCAGAGAAGCCTTCCTGGAGGAGATGGGTTTGGAAGGATGCATACATGTTTGACCAGGCAAAGAATACAGGGGGTGGTAGTTTTGGGATAGGTAGCAGAGGCAGGAAGGTGAGAGACTGTTCTGGAAATAATCCAGAGGTGGATATGATGGGAACCAAGGATGGCGAGGACACGGGAGATGGCTAGGCTGAGGGACAGACAGGGGCCAGGGCCCTGGGCGTTGAGAAGGGCAGGAGGTACACTGCAAACTCTGCCAAAAGACAGGGCCCTCAGTGCAAAGGAGGGCGACTTCTGAACCTCACCTGGGAAGGGGTTTAGGCTGTTAATGGGGTCCTGGCTGGCTGAGCAGAGCTTCGGCCTCTTGAGAAAAGGAGATGCCATTTTCAAAAGGGCTTTTATTAAACTCTCTCCACACAGCGCCTCTTGCCACAATTGCCATGGCCCTGGGGTGTGTCCACCAGGGAAAGGGCCCTGTCAGTGTCCCGTGTAGCCAAGCCTGGGCTCGTCCATATAGCTGTGGAGCTGGCTTCATCATGTGGCAGTCTCATCCTACGTCGGGCTGCTTCTGGAAGGGTTCCGGAGTGGCGGAGGGGGGACTGTGGATGCTGGTATCTGAGGGCAGGCTCCAGTGCCCGGATTCGGGGGGGTGGGGGGTGGGCCCATCTCCAACACACACCCTGAGAGATGTTCCTGAGATTCTAGGTGCACCTAAAATGTCACAGCTCCATGTTGGGGGCGCAGGGGAGGAGGGGTGAGTAGGGAGTAGGCTGTGGCCAGGTCACTCCTCCTGAGGACAGGTCTGGGGAAGCTAAGTTCTTCCTGGGCATGTGCTGGGAAACACAGAGGGACCGATCTGAGGGGCTGTGTGTGAATAGGCGCCAGAATTGTGCTTTTTTTTTTTTATACCTTCAGCACCTGGTCTTCCTAGATGGTCTCCTAACCAAGTACTAACCAGCCAGACCCTGCTTAGCTTCCGAGATTAGAAAACCAGCGTGTTCAGGGCGGCATGGCCCTAGACAGGATTGGGCTCTTTTGCTGCAAATGGCTGGTGAGTACGTTCCTTCTCTGAGCCTCAGTTTCCCTTTCTGGCTAACAAATAACTTGGCCTCTCGGTGCCGCCCCTCCTTCAGGAAGCATGCTGGGCCACTGCTTTGCGTCATGTTCACAACGGTCCTGTCATGTTGGTCTAGGCATGCTCAGTGGGTTGCGAGCATGTGTGACGTGGGGGCGTCCATGCTGGGAGTGTGTGTGGTCAGATGTGGGGCTCCTGCATGTATGAGGGGTGCAGCTGAGTGTGAGTGTGAGGGTGTGCAAGTGTGAGCCCAGTCCGCCTGCTTCTTCCCCAGCCAGTCTCGGTAAACACTGCCGTTGAGGGGCTGCAGTGGCCCTGGCTTCACAGGAAGTTGGGTTCCCGCACCACGAGGCAGGGCGGGTCCCCGCTGTCCCCGCCGCTGTTCTGGGGCCGGTACACGAAATGGAAGTCGCGCTTGGGCTCACTCCGCAGCAGATAGTTCTTGATGCGGTGCGGCAGCGCCTCGTCCGCCAGCTGGAAGCGTCGCCCGTCCACCAGCACGAAGAGCCGGTGGTCCTGGGGCCGCGCCACCTCGAACTTGTCCGCGCACTGTGCGCACAGCGCCTCCGCCAGGGTGTCTGCCCGTGACGCCAGCGTCCGTGACTGCTGCTCGGGCTCCAGGTACGACACGCAGATGAAGTCCTGCGGGGTGAGATGCAGGGGGTGGCGTCACTGGCGGGCCAAGGGGACATTCTGTCTCACCTGCACCCCAACAGTGGGAGCTTGGGCAGAGGTAAAGACTGAATGGCCTTGGATAAGTCCTTTTCCTCTCTGGGCCCCAGGCCCCTCTAATAGAGAGAGGATTGCAGGAACGGTCGTGAGGCTGGAAGTCAGAGCACCTGTAGCTGACCCTGCTTAAGTCCTTTTCCTCTCTGGGCCCCAGGCCCCTCTCTGTAGAGAGAGGATTGCAGGAGCGGTCATGAGGCTGGAAGTCAGGGCACCTGCAGCTGACCCTGTTTTGTGACCTAAGGCAGGGCCTTTCCATCTCTGAGCCTCACTTCTCAATGGGGCTGAACATTCTGGGTGAGTCAATAGCTTTGTCTTGTCAACGAGGAGTGAGAGCGCCTCCTGGTGGTCAGTTTATGAGCTCGCCAGCATTTATTCGTCACTTCATCATCTCTGCCTTCTCGAGTCCTCCTGCACCCCGTACCGCAACGCGGGGCAGGGAGGGCGGCATAAATAAAATCGGGGGCAGATGCCAGTCCCAGCACCCCATGGTTCAGCTGGGGATGCAGAGGCAGGAGGAACAGTTCCGCCTTTAGGGCTGGAAGAGCCTAAGGGTGGGGAGGGGCTCTGAGGAGGAGCTGGAGGGCAGGGACTGGCATGGGAAAGGCTCGGTGGAAGGGGGAGGGGATCTGGGTCTGAAAGGTGGTGAGGGGGACTGCAGGAGCCTGGTGGGCAGGGATGAGGCGATGCCTGCGGGGCTGGGGATGGGAGCACTCGTATACACGTCAGTGCCCTTTACCAGCCCGGGACGGAGGATCATACGGTGGAAGGACGAGCTCTCCAGTCCCTGCGCGACCTGGACCTCTCTGAACCTCTATTTCCTCAACTGTAAACTGGGATAACACCAGTTCTTACACCATGGGCTGTAAGCATACAAAACTGCTCCGGTGCCGTGAGGGCGGGTAGGAAGTGCTGTGTGCGGGGTTGCCCCCTTGTGGAAGGATGATAACAGCACAGCCTTCTCACCATGGTGATGATGATAACGCTGTGGACTGGGGAGCGCACCTGAGGTGCCAGGCTCCCTGTCAAGAGCTTTACTGGGATCACCCCCTTTTTCCAGGAAGAGAAGCCCAGCCCACTCCCCTGGGTCTTAGTGGCTGCCTGTGATCTCCTTGTCTTCCATTAGGCCTCCCTAGAGCCCTTTATACCTACTGATGACTGTCAGGCTCTGGGCTTTTACTCCCAGGGAAGGATGGGGCTTAGGGCATGGAGTGCATAAGAGGCACTGGGAGGGGGCTGCCTTCCCCAAACCCCAGAAATAATGCTGAAGGGCTCCTCATCTCTGATCCTAGGACTTTCTCCCTAGCTTCGCCTCCCCAGTGGGAGACACCGATGCTCTGTCTGGCTCAGCATTGCGAAGCCACAGGGTGGAAACCAGAAGCAATGAATGCCTGGGGCAGGCTTGAACCAAGAACGCCCATATTCCAGCTTGAGAAAGCCAACTGTGTATGTGTCTTCCCAATTCCAGGCTCAGTGGTGCCAGGTTAGTGGCTTGCAACCAGCTGCGGTGGGAGTATTTATACCATGGGAATCAACAAAAGCTAAAATTAGAGCTTTTTACTAAACATTATCAAGACACCATGGATTCGAGGAGGGGGGCATCAGCTTGGCAGTCTAGAACATGTTCTGGGGATGCAAAGCACATCTAGTCTACAGCCCCCCTGTGCTGATAGGGAAACTGAGTCCCAGAGAGGGGCAGGGACTGCTCAGGGTCACACAGTAAGCTAGTACTCAGCTGGGTCCAGACCTTGAGCCTCTTACTTCCCAGGCCTGGGCTCTGCCCATTGCAGATGGGCCATCTTGAAACCCAGGATTAGGGTCAAGCCCAGTGTGCTCTGGGTGTCAGGGAAGTGAGTCTGCACAGCTATTTACATCTCTGGATCACTGCTTGGCTCACTGTCCTAACTCCCTCCAATCTGCACACACCCCAGTTCCACTCTGTCCTAGGCCCTGGGCTTGGGGCTCCCGAGACATGTGAGCCATCAGCCTTCTCTCCTAGGACATCTTCATACATAGATGGTTACAATATGGTGTGATACATGCTGCAGTGGGGACAGTAGCAGCAGGAAACACAGAGACAGGTGGGGGGGTGGGTCAGGTGGAGGAAGGGGTCAGGGAATAAAGAGGATGGACAGGTGGCAGCCAGTGAAGGAGAGATGGACCAGCATGGGCAGAGGGAGTTGAACTCAGCATGTTTGGGGAATTAGGGTAGCTTGATTTGATGCAGCCTGAGGGTATGGGATGATGGGAGTGGTGGAGGAGCCAGGATTCTGGCCGTCAGTGAATACTGAGATTTTATAGAGAGTTGAGAGGGACTGGAGGCTGGACTGCAGGGGCCAGGCTAGGGGCAGGGGGACCTCGGCAGCTGCTGCGTTTGTCCAGGGACCGATGGGTAAGGCTGTGGATCAGCTCATGGGCTCCCCCAAAGTGGGACTGGCACGACTTATGTCCACGTCGCCAGCCCTAGCAGAGCGCTAGGACATAGTGGGTGCTTAGGAATGTCGGAAAGAAGTCTCATGCCTCCTATCTCTGTCTTGTCTGCCCAACAGAACACCAACGCCTGGTGATACTTTCCTAGGCCCCCCAGGGCTAGGCACACACTAGCAGACACTGGGTGGCCAGCCAGAACGGCCAGTCAGCGGCCAGTGGGGATGGTATCTGGGGCATGGTCCCCTCTCATCCTCTGTCCCTGGCGTCACCTGCACGGAGGAGCGGGAGGCCCGAGCCTTGTTGAGCGTGCGCCGGCGCTCCCAGCGGTGGATGGAGTCTTGCACCTCCACACTCAGCTGTCGGGTCACCGTGATCTTGTCGTAGTTCTTGATGTGCTCCAGGGCCCCGTAAGTGGTGGTCAGATAGTAGGAACCTGCGGTGACAAGGGTGTGCGGGCTGAACTAGGACTCCCACCCGCAAAGGGAGGGAGCCAGCTCCAGTTCGGTCCGCCCCGCCCACCGCTCTAAGCTCCACCCACCGCGGCTGCTGTGGACACCCATGCAGCTCTGTCACCTACGAACTTCAGCCGGAGCCCTCCCCACAGCCTTGCGAGCTTCCTGAAGTCCAGCCCGGAGCTGTCAGACTCTCTGCTCAATGGCTGCCCTTTGGGAAGGAACTCTTGCTTATTTTTAAAATGGCGTTTTACATTTTAAAAGATACCCAAGAAACTGATAATCATGGATGTCTTTAGGGTGGGGAAAGGGGTGGCTGGGAGATAAGGGTGGGGAGGAGACTGCTCACTGTATGTATTTCTACACAGCTATATAAGCATACATACTGATGTATATACCATATTCTAAAAATAACTTTTAGAAGATGTAGATAAAATTTTAATTATGGTTATACTATCATACACAATTTAAAAAGATTTAAAGTAAACTTGAATCGTTCATGTCTCCATCTTTTTTACCTTCTTAAAGTAATTCATGTATATTCTTAATACCTAATGTTTCCTAAAGTGATTTTAAGCTTTGAGATAATTTAGACTGAAAAATTTATATTTTAAGTTAGGAATGCTTGAAGCTGCAAGCATTTTAAGATAAAGGATTTTAAGATAAAGGATGATAATGTGCATGGATGCTTACAAGTCCATTCTCCTTTGCTCGTTCAGGGCTTTGGTTAAACTGTTTGAGAAGCACCAGCCTCGCTGAGCCCCTTCACTTTAGGGAGAGGGAGGGTGACTTCCATGAGGTTCCCTCCCAGGCCTCGCTCCCCAGCCTTTTATGTGTCAGGACAATGAAATGAGGCTGATTTTCCTAGCGACCCACCCAAATCCCATCTTCTCTTTCTTCCTAACTCTACTGAACTCTACATTTTTGGGGGTGAAGTAACGCTTAACTAAAAATGTTAATTTCCCAGACTCCCTTGCAGCTCAGAGTAGAGGGCAGGAGACCCCATTCTGCTACTTAGATATAAGTGGAAATCCCTGGGTGGGGCTTCCAGGAAAGCCTTTTGAAAGGAGCAGAATCAGTCGATATGTTCCTTCCTGTTTTTGCTTATCCCTTTCCTCCTGCCTGGAACACAGAGGTGAGCCCAGAGGCACGGCAGCTGTTTTGTGATCAGAGGTGACAGGTACAAAGACAAAGGCTTATATTCTAAAGAATAATAGAAAGAGCTGGGTCCACAATTTCCTGATGGCAGGGCTAAAAACTTTCATTAGTACATCAGGATTGCTTGATGCAAGAGACAAAGCAGCCCCTCACTCTGATTTAAACTACTACTAGTTAGTTACATCATGGGTTATTTGCAGCTTCAAGCATTCCTAACTTACATTGGATGAAGCTGCCTACCTATACTTATAAATTCCATGATCACTATGGGAAAATTCACACCCTGGCAGAGGTCAGTCGGAGGTAAGGTAAAGGAGTTTATGTTCACAAGATCACTCACCCTTTCATAGCAATATCAGAAAGAGACATTAAAACATATATATATGTAATCAAGGCCAACATGGAATTTGGCTTATCTGAGAAGGGCCAATAAACCACTCCTGCATGTATCTCCTTTTCTAGCCAAGCTCAGAGCCCATGTGTGCTCGGAAGCTTTTGCTGGTGCCTCCAGGCCTTGCCGCCCAAGAGTCCCAGTCCTCTACTTGGCATACCTCGACGGTCCTGTTTCCCACCTGTCATCGTGTCTCCTCTTTAGCCTCCCTGGGGGTGAGTGCAGGGCACCGATCAAGAGTACAGATTTGGAGTTAGAGAGCAGGATCTAGGTCTTCGCCCTTCAGCAGCCAGCTCTGTGATCTCTTTAGCCTCCCTCTCCTCATCTGCAAATCTCATAATGTCATTGTGAAAGGTAAGTAAAGTGAATACGTGTGACGTGTAGTTTAGTAACCTGTGAGTAATGCATGGCGGTTAGGTGACCTGTGGGTGGTGCTCTGGGGCTTCTCACCCTCTGAGAAGAAGGGGAGGAGCTCCAAGCCTTAGCAGCTCAGGCCTCCTGCTCAAGCCCTGCTTTTTCACAGCCCACGTGGTCCTTTCTGCAACTTCCCTTTGACTTAGGGCTCTGTAGTGTCTGCCAGGACCACTAGGTGGCAGGCGATTCCTCCCGCTGTGAGGTTCGGAGCTGGTTGTTTTCTCTGGGTAGAGTTGTATGTTGATGGGAAAAACTCACTGCCCCTGTTAAGATATTAGCCCAGCATGGCCAGCTGTCAGCGGGCATGGAGAAGGAGTCCTTGAGGGTGCTTCCAGGAGAGGCTCAGATTTTGAGCTGGCTCCAGCCAGGTGCCCAGCGCAGCCTGGGTATCCCATCGACTCCATAATTACCCAGGGTGGTGGGAGCTGCAGAGAGAGGCTAGAAGCGGGCTGGGGTCTCATCAGCCCAACATTCTGGCCCTCTCTACTTCTGCTCTACGCTGACCTCTCGCACACAATATGCTTGCTGTGAAGAACATGGGACCCTGTCCCTGGTCCTTTGCCAAATTAAAGCACATGGAACCGGTGGGAAGATCATGAAGGTCCCGAAGTACATAGATTCTGGAATCTGGCTCATGAGCTTTTGTTGAATGCAAAATTGTTCATTCATACGAACTGCGAAACACAGGAGGAAAGAGCCCAGCTTCATTCCCGTCCTGCCCTTAGCTACCTCTGCAGAACACTAGAGTGCCCAGACAGTTTGGAAACCCCAAATCTAGCCCAACACCTCCCCTTTCCCAAGTCAGAGAGGTTAAGCGACTTGCCCAAGGTCTCTAGCCAATCAGAGGCAGAACTGGGACAGAAATCCAGTCTCCATCCTGCTCTTTTTACTACATCCTATGTTCGTTCTCCTCTTAGATTCGAGCAACAGAGTCTTCAAGAATGGAGACTCCCCGAGGGCCCGCACCCATCCCAGGAGGCTTTGAGCTCTACAGAGGACCAGGGGCAAGGCCTGGCCAGCAGAGACACTGCCTCCCCTGCCCCTCCCCCTCTAGATGCATCTCAGGGACTTTGGTGACGGAGCACCCTGTGTGCCATCACCCAGCCAGTACAGGAGGGTGAAGCTGGGGAGACGAAGGAACCGCCCCCCCCACCCGCTCTCTGTCCCTCTGTCCTTGGGCCCAGATGCTTCTAGATGGAGGTCTGCCACCTGGCAGACTTGAAGGGTGGGACCCCCTGCCCAAGCTGGAGACCCTAAGTCATTTCATAACCGGAGGCTGACACCTGTGAGGCTGGGCCTGACCTGGGTGTGGTGACTTCACACCCCGGCTGTCGGACTCGGAACAAAGAGGGGTGCAGGGAGGCACCCATGCAAACCATCCCCCCTCCTGGTGTGTGCGGCTTGGTGTGAGGTTTGTCCCCTGGTCTCCATGGGCAGGGTCTGACACTGCTGTCTGTGGGCAGCGCTGCCGGGAGGGGCGGTGTGTGGCAGGCTGGTGAGACTCTGTCCCGCCCGAATCTCACTCCCATCAAACACTCCACTGATTCCTTTGAAATACCTGCATGGGGCCAGAGGTGGGGGGTCTCATTAAGACTAAAGAAGGGCAGGCAGCAGGTTATGGAGGCAGCCTTGGGTCAGGCCCTGTGAACTGTTTAAGGTCCTTTATGTATTTATTTGTACTTTCGCTTGTCTCAAAAACACTTGTTATAGCCCAGAATAGACCAGTGCTCCTGCCTGAAGGACCTCATCTTGCCCAGCTGAACCCCATAGTCTTCGGGAACAGGAAGAAGGAAGCCAAGATGCTATGGCAGGATTGGGGTGGGGGATGCAGTTCCGCAAGGAGAGAGTAGTAGGGCCAACGATGTTCCCATCCCGTTTCTGCTCAGCCCCTGTGCCTGGCCCGGAGCTCCATTTAGCCACAAAGATTCAGGCCGAGGACACAGTAGGTGTCACAACAGCCAGGGCATGGCTGCCGCTGCAGGGCCCATCCGCAGAGCCCCATGCTCTCTAAGGCTCTGCCACAACCCTGTGGGGCCAGGCCTGGTCCTTTAACAGGATTTGTAAATGACTTATTTCCAGGAAGATGAGCAACACATGCCCACTGTGGCAAATTTGGAAAACGGAGAAAGAGTAATGAGGAAGTCGTCTGTGCTCTGTGCTCTGTGCTCAGGACTCCCTTGGTCATCTGAGCTCTGTCCTGCCCCTCTGCTCCATCCCACCAGCTTACCTCCTGTATTCTCGACATTTGCCAGATGTGACCAGATGTGAAATGATCTTGTTTGCTCGCTTGTTTAATCTGTTAAAGTTCTGACCCTCCCCGCTGCCCGCCACCGCAGCCCCTCCCCCCACCACACTGTAATGAGACTCCATGAGAAAAGGGACCTGCTATCCCTGGCATGAAGCAGGAGCTCAGTGCATATCTATTGAATGAATATCTGTACATGGCTTTTGCCCAGGTACTTATTAAGTCTTAATGCTTTTCTTGTTGATTTGTAAGAACATTTTACATATCAAGGCTCTTAATTCTAGGTGTGCTGATTTGTGAGGACACTTTCCTCTGGTTTATTACTAGTATCTTATTCTAGTTATGGTAATTTTTGACACGTAAAATGTGCATGCTCAAGGCTGGGGAAACTAAGGCAGAGGCCCATGAAGACTTGGTGGAGACCCCAAAGTGTGGGGTACAGAACGAGGCATTCATTCATGTTCATGAGACTATCAGCCCCCGTGGTCTTGCCTTGCCCTATAGCCCAAGTGCCTGGCATGGGGCCTGGCACACAGTAGGGGCTCACTGAGTTGCTACTGGATGGAGAGATGAATGGGTGAATGGATGGATGGATGGGTGGGTAGGCGGGTAGATAGATAGATGGGCAGATGAATGGATGGATGGGTGGATGGATAGATAAATGGACGGGTGGATGTACTGGGTGGCTGGTAATCACTGCTGAAGAAAGCCAGGCTGCTCCTGAATTGCAACACCTTCTGGAAGACAGGTTGTTCTAACAGCAGGAAAATTTTAACTAGTGAGGAGAAAAAATAGCTTTGGAGGTCCCAGGGCACAAGCCGGAGTTCTATGTGACAGTAAACTTCACGGCTTTACACGCTCCCCTGAGCTTCTAAGAACTCACAGAACTGTCACCCCAGAGACTGATAGGTGCTAAAAATGCAAACAGATGCAAAGAGGGGCGGTTTATCTTAAGAACCACAAAGCCCAAAGAGGCCACTCAGGGCCTGAGAGTCTCCTTTGTTCTTTGAGGCTGACGTCTTAGAGGACGACTTGGGGCTCTCTCAGAGCCAGTACCTTGTCTGGCTGCATCTCAGAGATTTTTGGCGGAGGGGTGACTGAGGCTAAGTGGGGAGGGGGAGTGGATAAGAGGAAAGGGGAAGGGAAACTGAGGGTGGGCAGAGCAGGCCGCACCCCTGCATTTACCCATAGCAGTAACCTCTGCCTCTGTCAAGGGACCTGGCCCAGGGCTCGACGAGCCAGGGGGCTGAGAGTCCCCAGGCCACCCCGGCCTGAGGACTGACCCCCACTTCCTGCTCAGACTCCCCGTGGGCACCGCCCGCCAGCTCAGTCTTGTCTTTTCTGCTGCTCAAAACTGCTGCTCCCTCTGTGGAAAATGCCTTTCCCTCTTCTTTACCCGACTGGTTCCTTCTCATCCTTCAATGCTCAGCTCAGGTGTCACCTTTTCTAGAAGCCTTCCCTGACTGCACAGCCCAGGTAACATGCTCCTACACGCTCTGGGCTTGCCACCATTTCAGCACATGTCAGCAGCGGGGACATGGTTCTTTACCGGCCAGCTCCCCTGCTAGTCTGTGAGCTTCCCCAGCACAGGGCCTGTGTGGGGCCCTGTGTTGTGTCCCCAGGGCTCAGGGGAGTCTGGCATCCAGGAGGTTTGCTTTGGGCTATGCAGGGTACCCCTGGTATGCCTGAGTGGGTGGCGGGCGATGGGCCTGGGACGGCGACTCACCCTCCCCCAGCTGCAGCGCGGGGTCCATGAGCTCCATCACGTATTCCACGCTGAGGAGCATCTCCGTGAGGTTGCTGCGGGCCAGCACATACATGAGCACGGGCAGGAAGTCATCGGCCCCGTAGGACTTGCCTGGGAGGAGGAAGGAAGGAGGCAGAGGTGGTGAGTGTGAGGCTCTCCTCGTGAGCTATTCTCTGTCCAGGAGAAGGGTTGGTGGTCACTCGAGGAAGAAGAACCTTCTTGCTTTCTCATGATTACTAGGATGGAGGCGACCCTGGAATCTGACTACTTGGGGTGGCCTGTGACACATTCTGGGTTTAGGAAGAAGGAACTGAGAAAAGTGCCCTCTGCTGGGGTGGGCAAGACCCAGGCCCTTCCTCTTTCTCAGCTCTTTTCCCTCAATGCCTCTTGCCGCTGGCTTGACAGCCAAGTTCACATCACACTTATTCATGGACCCGCCCAGAAGTAGCTGTCTAACTTTGATGTCTCCTGGGGAGGTTCTCTGTCCCTTTTAACCACACATCTCTCTCTCTACCTATAAAACAGAAAATCAGAAATTCCACCATTCAGCCTTTGTTCCTTTGGGCTAAGCAGTGCCTGTTCCTGAGGGTTTCTTTTAAAACATATAGGCCTCTGAAAGGAAGAACTCATCACTTCTTCTTTTGTGGGAGGTGTTCACAGGACTCAGAGCCTCCTGACAGGAACAGATGCTTTGGGGAAGAGAAGAAGGGGAAGGCAGGCCTACAAGATGCCTTCCCAGCTTGGCTCTGAAGACTGACCTATGGCAACACACAATCAAAGATTGTACCTCGAGGACAAGAGTCCTCCCGGCATCCCTAGTTGGCCTCTTAGCATGCCCATGCAAGCACGCCGGGGACATTGAAAGCGTGACCGAGCAGCTTTGCATAGTGAGAAATGGCCACCAGGGTCCCCAACTCATTTCTCACTTCCTCTCACCAAAGGGCGACCAGGGCTCAGACAAAGGTGTCTGACTCAGCTGGAGGGTACGCAGCCCGGCTTGGCCCCAGCTGGCCCAGACCGAGATGCTGCCCTTTGTGTCTTGAGTGAGGCTAATAATCAGCTCAAATACATGCCAAGCAATGCAGAGTTCATTCAAAAACTGTATTTCTATTTTGCATGTTTTACCAAGGATTTAGGAGACTATCAGGAAATGCATGATGAAACAGTAAAACCTAAATAAAAATGTAAACATCAGGACAAATATAAATGACAAGAGAAACTGTGCACCACAGGAAAAAAAAAACCACAAATAAGCGAGAACTCACACAACTAATCCTTTGGTGCCATAAATTTGGCTCTGAGTTTCCTGGTGGCCAAAGCAAAGCAGAAAACACACTCAGTTACATCTTCTAATTGTCCATGAGAAGAAAATGTACCTGTTTCTTGGGGGAACCAAATTATTTTTCTGACCCTTAGGGCTAAAATAAAGCGTTCACATGTGGCTTCATTTGGAGAACATGATTGGTGGGTTCCTACAGCACATCACTTAGCGATTCATTTCACTGTCTCGAGACGCAGCTCAAGGCAAGCGCTGCTAGGGAAGAAAGGCAGATTTCATAGTGAACTCTGCGTGTTCACATCTGTTCCTTATAACAACTATGTAAAGTAGGTATTGTTTTGCCCACCTACCGAAGAAGAAGCCGAGGTTCAGAGAGCTTCAGAGACTCTCCCTCGGCCAAACACATCACGAAGTCATAAGAGGGACAGCCGTGAAGAGCTAGGCATCTGGCCTCGGGCCTGGGTTCGAATCCTAGCTCTCTCGTTCAGTAGCTGCGGACCCTGGGAAGGTCCTTCCCTCCTCTAACCTTGGCAGAGAGGTTGGAGAATGAGGTGGAGGTTTGAGGATAAAATGAAATGACGTGGGTGGTCAGTGCTTCGTCGAGCCATAGTGGGGCCTGTGGCAAAGGAGAAATGTATGCTCCTATAGCTACTTATCAAAATATCCCCTCACACTTTGAACCAAGTGGAAAAAGTTAATGAACGCTCAGAAGAAAAAAACATGACTATCAAACCCCGTGTCAACGATCTGCTTGCTTTCCATCGTCTGTCCTCATAAACACGCAAACATGCACGAGCCCAGGAACCACCAGCTGACTGGAGATGACTGTTCCCATTGCATAATAATGCAGGGTCATAAAACAGACAATAATAGCCTGTCTTCACTTAAAATGACACAGATTTTTTGGCACTAACTTTTATTTTTTAAAATATTGTATTAAAATATGATGTCTTAACCTTTGACCCGGTGGGTCTACTCCTACTTACATACCCAAGAGAAATGAAAACGTGTTCACACAAAGACGTGTACGGAAATGTTCATAGCAGCAGTACTCAGAATAGCCCACGCGTGGAAACAGCAAAAATGGTCCTCAGCTGGTGGATGAACAGACAGTGGAAACCTATCTGGTGGCAAAAAGGGCCACGACGTTGATAAACCTTGAAATCGTTACACTAAATTGAAGAAGCAAATCACAAAAGACTGCATGTTGTGCATATCGTGTGATTCTATGTATATAAAATGTCCAGGATAAGCAAATCCATAGAGAAAGAAGTAGAGGGGGTGGGGAGTGACTGCTAACAGGTACAGAGTTTCTTTCAGGGTGATAAAAATACTCTGTAATTAGAGCAGTTTTGCTTATGCAATTATGCTAAAGATCACTATGGTTTTTTTAAAATGCGCATATCTATATATAATACTTACAGTAGACATGTAAAATACACATGCGCACACATATATAATTTTTCTTGATTACTGAGTTTTTTGCATCTGAGGCCAGTGCTTCACTCACTTCACCCAAATCTGGCCTCACTGCTGGTTCTTAGGGCAGTGAATGGTGCGTAGCGAATGCTTGGTAAATGGCAGCTAAGCCAAGTGGGCACTAGTGTGAGGTCATGTACAAAGGAAGTGAGGCAGAGCTGGTTCCCAGCCCTCAGGACCCTCCCAGTCTAAAGCCATTAGCCACGCCAGGGACTGTGATTCTGGGGTCATGGAGGACCCTCCAGGGAGGGTCTTGTGTTCTTTAGCTGCTCAGCCTCATTCCAGCCTGAATGGCTGCTGGAGACTGCTTTCCTCCCCCGCCCCGACCCCCACTGTCCAGTCTCTCTTTATTTTCATAGTAACAGAACTGACTTTAAGCTGGGACATGGCCACCCAAATGAAAGACTTGCATTTCCCAGCTTCCCTTGCAGCTAAGTACAGCCACATATCCAAGTTCTCGCAAATGCTATTCGAGAAGGAAGTGATGTGCTCAGCTTCTAGGCCATGCCCTTAAAGGGGAGGAGCATGTGGATGGAGAAAACATTGGTGATGGTGGAATGACAAGAGAGGAGCCTGGGTCTCTATGGATCTTGGAGAAATGAAGTGTCGTATCAGCCTACGCTGGTACGTGAGAGTGAAATAAATTCAGTTTTGTTGAAATCATGGATGTGTGTGCGTGTGTGTGTGTGTTTTAAGTTATACCCTAAACTATGTGTGTGTGTGTGTGTGTGTGTGTGTTTTAAGTTATACCCTAAGCTATACTTCCATCGAACGTGAGCTGCAAATCCTAGTAGAAAGCGCTTCCAGTTGATGGTCTGAACAGCCAGGCCATGACATACCTGCTTCCATCGAACGTGAGCTGCAAATCCTAGTAGAAAGAGCTTCCAGTTGATGGTCTGAACAGCCAGGCCACGACACACCTGCTCATTCATTCATTCATTCATTCATTCGATCACTCACTAAAACCCTCTTATAATCACTGTGTCCCTCAGATCTGATTTTTCTGGATTCCAGTGGAGAGCAGGAAGATGCAAGAAAAAAATAGAGTGTGAGAGAGCTTCGACAAGAGGTGGGAGTTCAAGGTTGAATTTCGCAGCCCCTCTGGAGGAATTAGTTTCCCACTGCCCATGTCTGGATAGGTGGGTGCCCTCACAGGGTGCTGGGCCACACCCCCAAAAAGCGCAAACCAGCACTGTCTCAGTGGGCTCTGGGTGGACTCGTGTGTCTCCACATAGCCACTCATCCTTGGTTGGTTTTCCAGAGGACACAATGCCTGTGGTCTGCTTTCCTCAGTTTCTGCATCTGCAAAATGGGGCCAGTACACTGGCCTTGATGGCCTGTCAGGGTTTTGAGAGAATAAAATGAGAAAAAGAATATGAAAGTGATCTGGACCCATAAAGTGCTAAGGAAAGGTGGGCTATTACTGACATCTGACATCTATGTTCTCCTTTCTCAAGTGGCCTGTTTTCCCACCTGTAAAATGAACAGGCTGAAGGGCTGGGTGACGTACAGCACTGAAAAGCAGAGTCAGACATCCCGTAGTATGGGTCCCAGCACACTACTTAGTAGATGTGTGACCTTGGGCTAATTGCTTTACCTCTCTGAGCCTATATTTCTTGTCATGTGAGAACCGACACAGATAACGTGAACTCCTGTGGGGTTTCGGTGAGAATTCTACGAAATGATTCACGTGGAGTGCTCCTGCAATGCTCCCATGGGCACACTCACCAAAGAAGAATACCCATTCTTTTCCCAGCTCTGTGGTCTAAGGCTCTGATGATTTGTTTCAAGGTTCTTGGGTCTGTCTGCCTTGTACAGAATTAACCAGTTTTGGAGAAAGACTTCTTAAAAAAATCTTTATAAGCCTGAGACATGACTAAATTGTTCCTGGAGAAAGATTCTTTTGTTCTTGGAGTTGTTTTTCATGTTGATGATTTAATTTTTTGAAACAAAGTCCTGCCCGTGCCTTTTGGAATTCACCTATAATTCATGCACTGGTTTACAGCTGATTGAATTTTTAATCTGCTTCCAGGAACGTCACCTTTTTTTGGGGGGGGTGGTATTATATTAATAGCTCACTAAGAGATACAATCAGGCCAGTTAATTTGCTTTTGAGCAGTGGTTCTCAACTAGGGTGATTCTGCCTTTGAGGGGCCATTTGGCAACGTCTGGAGTCACTTTTTTGGTTGTCACAACTAGGGTGGTGGTACTCCGGGCATCGAGGCTAGGGATGCTGCTACATCTCCTACAATGCACAGGACAGCCTTCCACAATAAGGAATTATTCAGCCCAAAAATGTCTATCGTGCCAAGTTGAGAAACCCTGCTTAAGGGGACAGTGACTTCCAGCCAGA